ACAATGGATGAGCGCGTTGTGCTACTTTTGAATATACGTTTCATCGTTGATACCCTATTACCCTCCTCCTTCTTAATTTGTTCCGTGCAGTGTTCGTGCTTTTCACCTTGTTTATAAAATTCATCTTAAATATTACATTGGATGAAAGTTTCAACAATCTGTTGTGTTTGTTCTTGAGCAGCCATGATAAAGATACTATTTTAAGCTCAAAGTCTTCCAAGTCGGTCAGAAAAAGGGATCTACACTATCTTTACATTCGTTAGATTCTGTTCACTGAGAAGATTTCAGAGCGAACAACTGATACTATTTTAAGCTCGGGGTTTTCTGAGTTTGTCACCACAGAAAATCTACACTATCTTTACGTTTGGTAGATTCTGTTCACTGAGAAAATTTCAGAGCGAACAACTGAAACTATTTTAAGCTCGGGGTTTTCTGAGTTTGTCACAACAGAAAATCTATACTATCTTTACGTTTGATTGAAAAGATTTCAGCGTCAACAAGTGAATACTATTTTAAGCTCGAGGTTTTCTAATGTCATCAAAACCGAGACCGACGAACTTTCGCTCGGAGACAAATCTACAGTTTTCATACCGAGCGAAAAGAAACTGCTAAGTCATAATTTACCTCAGAGTAAGTATAGTAGTAGTATTCATTCACCACCAAACTCGGTTACACTCGGACAAAGTGTGTAGTCATATTTTAGATCAAAGTAAATATAGTAGTATTTCTTAATCACCAGATTCGGTTACACTCGTACAAACTGTGTAGTTGTAATTTAGATCAAAGTAAATATAGTAGTTGTAAAAGTAGTAGCATACGCTGACCTGTACATAACCTAAAATAAAATGTCTACCCTTCCATTATCCGAATGTGCAATTAGGTTTTTGTGTTTTGAAGATTGTTTGTTCATGAGTTTCTTTCAAATACCTTATGAGATGGAAAAAATGCTCAACAAACAACTTGCGGAGTCAATATATTTACGAGTGGACCCGATTCATCACAGCAGGCGCAGCCATGCGTGTGACTAAAAGTGCGTGCGTACGTTAGAAGCTATTCTGAAAACTCTCATATATGAATTGAGCGGCAAACCCGCGTCTTATCGGTGTTTTATGAGTGGTCTTTGTAAGTGGGCTCTAACACATTTGTGCACCAAAAATCTCATTTCATCATATATACAAACCGAATTACTGCTACTCGACTAGTGAACACGGGTGTGGACGCGAGTCACAACAGTTGGATCGATAGTAAGGATTTCGTATAAATAGTATGCATTCTCTTCTCAGTATCGTAAGGAAGAAATCATGATCGATAAAATAATTCTCATCATCGTAACCATCGTTGGAGTGAATTCCACAACGGTGGCGGAAAACTCATCCGAAGCAAACATCACAATGTGCCCGGTCCATCCGGAAATCAAATGCGCACCCTCTACCTTGACGGAAGTTCTTCTAGTCATCTTGAGTTTACTGGCGCTTATCTGCTCCGCTCCGTACCTGTACTTTAAGTACCTATCATCCGACTGCAAGTTCCGTTTCATCAGGATGGCCCGGAAAAATAACAATCGGAAAGTCGATGACATAAGTGTTGATTTAAAGTTCGGAGAAGGAGGAGGGATCGATGTTTGTGGTTGACAACCCTCATGTTTTTTAAACGCGCACGTTTTCTGAACGCGCAAGTTTTCAGAACGCGTACGTTTTCTTAACGCGCACGTTTCCGGAACGCGTGCGTTTTCTAAACGCGAACTGTTTTAAACTGTAACTGTAAATATCCAACAAAAAAAAATAAAAATTTTTGATTAATCAAACTGAATGGAAATTCCCGAATCAGACGCAACTCTCCAGTATCCGATACCAGGTCTATACTGTAAAATACGGTCTTTCGAAACCGAAAAATTTTACAAGTCCGAAAATCCGAATTTTTTCCCACAATCTGGCAACATTGTATCGAAAAATTAACTAATTTCTTGCACCATCTGGCAACACTGTACAGTTCAATGTTGCAAAATTTCACCCAGAAATAAACCATTTATTTATGTGCTCCGTCCGGCAACGTTGTAACCGCCATCTTGAAAAATACACTATTGCATAACCTGCGTGTTGAAGGGGCTACATTACACCATTGCATAACCCGCATATTGAAGGGGCAACATGCAATACCTTTATTTTACAGCGTTGCCATATTGAACAATTATCACCATACAACACTAATTTAATTCGTATTTTTCTGCGCAATTTGGCTAAAAACTTTTGCGCTCAAATTCCTGTTTCCACCTTACTGATTTCTTAATTTGTGGTTAATGTAATTAATTTGAAAGAATTCCTGCAAACTGGTGACTCAAATAAACTTTAAACTTTTAAGACTAAAACTGAGCACTTGCATTCAGTTACTTCACCCAGTACGCCTTGAGATGATTCTTACTCAAAATGCAAATTACAATGCAGCAAAGCTCCTTTATCTGAAGTTTTTGACGTTTCTAATAATTTTTAAATATTAACCGAACTAAATATTTGAATCATCTTTTCTTGCAGTCAACATCACATATGTTGGTTGCTATTAACTACTCTAAAAAACAGAAGTTCGGTACGTATGGAAAAGTAGTCGTGAAAGTCCCTAGATTTGTAAGGGATTATGTCATTTAGACTGAAAATGTCACAAAATTGTTTGGTTGAGATTTTACTTTCGCAAGATAAGGTATTTTCTTTCAATAATAAATTTCTTGTCACCAGTGATTTCAAAGTGGGAGTAGGTAAAAAAGTCAAAACACAAACAAACAGAAAAAGAACAGAAAGAAATTGTCTTCACTTTGACCGAACGGAATCTTGAGTTGCACTTTAACAGCACTAATTGACGTGTCCAACTAAAAGCACCTCAGAGGTCGCTTTGTGATGCCAATTTTAAAAGATCTACACTGATCTACTGTGTGTTATTATTTTATGAAAACATCTGTAGCCATTTTCTGGGAGGTTTAAAGAAAATATCTGATCCAAAACAAAGTGATATCCGACAAAAAAAAAAAAAAAAACTTGAGAGGGTGCCATTCGGACGGCAGTAATTTAGAGAACTGGGCGGTCCCGATTTTATAGATAAACACACATGATATTAAGAAATCGGGACAGCAAGTCTGGGTCTTGTCTCGTGGTGCTATTCCAGCTTTTTTTCTTTCCTTCAGCACGGTGTGGTTGAAGTCACTTATTAACAACTTCTAATGTAGATCAAAAATTCAAGTTGGAGGTTGTAGGTAGGACCTCTCTTCCTCCCTGATGGGTTTTTGGGCAATTTCGAAATCGGCTATCGGAGCTCTTTGAAAAATAATCGCATTTTTGTGGTTTTTTAGGGATAAAATAGCAAAATTGGCCTTGGGGCGACATATGAATCCCCCCCCCCGCCCCCCTCCTTCATCCTTGCCTTGACCGATCTGAATCGTACTGACCAATTCGGAACGAAATAAAAATCCAGCGCTTGAGGTTACAACGCTATTTGGGTCATTTTTACGAATTTTAAATTGTAAAGCTGGCAACACTGCAATTCTAAATTGTTCAAATATGCCTTTTCTAATCGGAAACTCTCAGATTGCACTTTTTTTTGTAAAATTTTGAACGGAATCAATCTCGAAACCTTCATTTTATCGTCAAATTCGATATTTTGGTGTCTACAACTTGGCAACGCTGCCACCGAGGGGGGGGGGCAAAAAAATTTTTACGGGCATGAAAATTTTAGAAAAGTTACATCTTATACCAGGTATAAATGTCAAGGCAAGGGTGAGGGAGAGGGGTTTTAATTTGTCGCTTCATGCCCAGTTTGCTAATTGCCCCTAGAAAACCACAAAAATTCAATCATTTTTCAAAAAGCTCACACACTCTATTTCGAAATTGGCCAAAAACTCATCAGGTAGTGCCCCACTACAACCAACGATTCAAATTTTTGATTTTGAATGGAAATCCCACTTCGAAACCTTCATTTTATTATTAAATTCGATATTTTGGAGTCTGCAACTTGGCAACGCTGCCGCGGGGGGCAAACAATGTTGTACGGGCATGAAAATTTCAGGAGTGTCAGATCTTATACTGGGTGAAAACATTCTATAAATTCAGATCCGGCAAGGATGAGGGAGGGGGGGGGTTTATTTTGTCGCCCCAAGGCCAATTTTGCTATTTTACCCCCAAAAAACCATAAAAATGCGATTCTTTTTCTGAGAGCTACGATAATCGATTTCGAAATTGCCCAAAAACCCATCAGGGAGGTCCTACCTACAACCTCAAACATGAATATTTGATGTACATTAAAAGTTGTTCATAAGTGAATTCAACCGCACTGTGTCAGAGGTTACCAAAGTTTTTGCTTTGACATTGTAGTGATATTATCCTATGAGAACAGCAAATTAATGAAACTTGAAAAAATAGGAAAAAATAAAAAACACGAAAAAAAAATGAAGAAATCGACGTCATGCCGCAGAAAAGCAGCAACTCCAGCAATTTCATAAATTATAAATATTTTGACTTCTACCAAATCAATAGCAGATACAAGAAGGTGCCCATCATAGAAATGGTATGTAATGCCAAGTGATTTATCAAACTTTTCTGCAGCATGACGGCAATTTTTTTATTTTTTCCGTTTTTTTTTAAGTCTCCTCGACAGTCTCACAGACTTCCTTCTGTCAGAATTTTTCATTACCATTTCCTATTTGTTGAGTCCCGTGTGTAGAAGCATCTCGGCAATTAAACTTTTGGTTTTCAATTATTTGTCAATAATTAATTTCTACTTCAGGAAGTTTGAGCATCAATTATTCTGCACCCCATCTACTTTTTATCTATTCATTAAAGTCCGTTTCTTTATTGGATAATTTGAAGAACCTGCTTGTTCAGGGTGGCTTGCGAAGTGATCGACCTCTATAGAGCTGTTAAACGGGCTAAACAAGCCTAAACTTTCTAGTTTACTCACTTATCTTCATCAACAGCAAAGCACCTTTCTTACAACTCTACCTTTTTAACATTTATGCACAGGTCCAGTGGTCTAGTTGTAATATTTTTAGTACACAAGATCATGCTGCAGCAGCAATTGCAAAACGTGGTGTGCCAGTTTATGCATGGAAAGGTGAAACGGATGAAGAATATTTATGGTGCATTGAGCAAACACTGGTTTTTCCAGATGGCAAGGTAATTTTCATTTCAACATTCTTTCCTTTATCCTGCTTTCCTTCCAAATAAGGTAGTTGCATGCAATTTTTTTCATTCAATATCTAAAAGTTTGAGGTCAACTGAGTATGAAAGTATATTTTAAAAAAGGACCCTGCACCATCCTTACGGGAAATCCTCCCCGGTCAAATCTGATGAAAGTGTGGTGTGTAACTCAGCTAGACATGCTGATCAAAAGATCTCATGGGCCCTAAGAGATCCCATGTGCGGTTTTCGAGTTATTTGCCGTTTTATGTGCGTGAACGGAGGTCCCGCTGGCCGGACCATCACCGGCCCGGGTGGTCTTATCTGGGTGGTGATAAGACCACCCGGGCCGATGACGATGAGCAAAGCCTCGCGAGCGTCGGTGTCCGAGCCTCGGGTATGGGTGACGGAGAAGCGGAGAAGGGCCGGAAGGGACTGGAAGGGAAGGGCACGAGTAGCTTCGCGGAGTGGTTCGGTTGGCGTAGGGTGGACCGTTTTTGCATAAAAAGAACGCTCAATTCTTTCCAGAAATGTTGGATGATGTCCTGAGCTCGCCCCGACGCCATCTTTGTTGCTAAATTTTCGATTTTTTCGAGAAATTGCCAGGATACCGTTTAAGGCCCGCCATCTTGGATTTTGAAATTTTGAAAATCTTACCAAAAATTCGAGTTTCCCGTCGATAAATACCCCCCGTAACCGAGTTTAACGAAATTCGATCAAACCGGACCCGACTTAGCATTTTAGGCCACGGCCGCCATCTTGAATTTTGAGATTTTAAAAATCTTATAAAAAATTCGAGTTTCCCGTCGAAAAGTACCGCCGGGTACTAAATTTCATGTAAATCCGTCGATAAATACCCCCTCAAACCTGAAATTTCATCTACAATGCTGTGATGTCACGCGACAGGATTGAACCTGTTCAGCGCGGTTCGCGTAAACAACCGTGTATCCCCAACACATTAGTATAGGGAGAAACAACTTTTCTTTCTTTTTGGGCTTCAGCGGCATTTTTTTCTAAATTTTATTTTTTAGGCATGTAGAGGTGGTTCTTAGCTTCATTCTTGCCAAGTTTGAAGGAAATCGCTCCGACAGTTTTTTGTGAAGTGTTGTTGAAATCTCGGTACAGTAGCTTTATATAATTAATTATCTTCTATACTACAAGCTCCAAGACCTCCTAATTTTGCGAAACTGGTAACGCTTAGTTCCAGCGTTCTACCGGGCCGATTTTCATGATTTTTGCGGCTATCGACGGGCAATTGTCTCTAGATAAGCCAACTCTTTTCAGATTTTCAAAATATGGCCCAGGTTTTTTACTTTCTCGCTCCCCTAGGGTAGAGAGGAAGTATTGTCATCCTCCAAGAAAAAAAAGAAAAAAAGGTTGAAATTTCATCATTTCTAGACGTTTTAAGGTCCCAGGAGTCAAAATAACCATACT